CTGGGAGTCCTCATCCTGGTCCTGGACACCTCCCTGAAGAAGGTGGCCAGGGTCAGCACTGTGCTCCCCATGTGCCCGCCCAGAAGGCTGCCAGGTCCTCTCAGTTCATTTCACAGACAGAGAATCTGAGGCCCAGAGAGGCAAAGTCACTGGCTCAAGGTCACATGGGGCCAAGTGTCAGAGCCAGGTGGGACCCAGGGCTGTACGCCTCTTCCACCTCCCCTCAGGACCCTCCTTCTGTCCCCCCTCCTGGTGGGGACCTCGTGCTTGAGTTTGGGGTGGGTCAAGGCCACAGGCTCAGCACCGGGCGCTCAGGAATGGGGCCGAGATTCTTTCGAGTTAATACACATCATCCCACATGGCTGACCTCATAAATATCATTAGATCCTGCAGTGCCCGCCCAGCCCGCCAGGCCCTGGATGTGCAGAGCTCTGTATCCTGTTCCCAGCTGCAGCAGGTGGAAATAGTGTGAACTAATGGAATATCAGCTAACAGCTGAGTGCCCGTCTCCTGGCAGATGGCAGTGCAGAGACTGCTGACCCACACATGCTGGCCTCCACTCGTCCACCAGCTGGGAGGCCCGAGCAGGGCTTCAGACCTGAGTGGAGGCAGAGAGACCGGGCTCTGGTCCTGGCATGCTGTGTGACCATGAGCAAGTGGTTTGACTTCTCTGAGCCTGAGTTTTCCTCATCTGTAAAAAGAGACCAATGGTAACATATACATTGCTGGCGCTATGTGGAAATGTCCAGCAGATGGCCATGAATAATATTAGGACAGAAGGCGGCTGGGGTTTCAAGGCCAGAAAAGCCACTGAGGGTCACACAGAGAATCATTCTCAGAAGTGTGATGCACACTATCACCAAGCCCACGGAGGACTTAGGGACACTCCCTGGTGCCTGGTACCCCCGAGCACCTCAAGCCCCTCCTCCATGACTGCTACCTGGGCTCTGAAGGTCAGAACCCAGAGGCCCTCTGCCCAGGGTCTGCCCCCCATGCAGGTCATGACAGTGGCCAGTGCAGGGACGATGTGGGACCAACGCTGGCTAATCACAGCTCTGGACCGGGCTTCCACAGCTGTGGCCTCCCCTTCCCCACTGGGCTTGGGCAATGCAGGGGACAGTCCTCTTGTGGCCTCCGGGTGGCCAATCTGAGCACGTGGCCACCGCACCATAAGATGTTGCTGGGTAGTGGAGACAGAGCATCCCTGGAACAGTGTTTGGGTCTGGATCAAGCCGTACCTGACTGCCAGGGGCTTTTCATGAGTTGCAGGAGTCAGTAAACTGCCCCTTGCCTTACGCCAGCCTGAGTCAGGCTGTCTTAGCACCAGAGTCAAAACAGACTTGGCTGACAGATCATTATCTGGCGTTAAAGCCCCTGTGAAATTAACCAAACTAATAAAAAATGTGAAGGCCGCTTGAATTAGCACAGCAAAGGGAGTGGGTAATGACAGGCAGGCTTGGGGCAACACTATCCTGCTTCACTGCTAGGGGAAAATGGTGCTTTAGAATCAGAAAGACCTGAGTTCCAATCCCAGCTCTCCACTTACTTTCTGTCTGTGTGACCTTGCACAAGTCACTACATCTGCGATTCTATTTCTTCAATCCTCTGAGTGAAGGTGAATGGAAGTAATGTGCAGAGAGAACTAGATACGCAGTAGGCCGCGTATAGCACAGTAGAAAGGAGCAAGCACTTCAGAGTCAAAGAAACCTGGGCTTGAGTCCTATCTCTGCTCTATGACCTCAGGCAAATTACTCAATCCCTCTGATTATGGGTTCATCAGGAAAACAGGAAAAGGTATTTCCTGCCTCTTGAAATGATCTGAAGAAGGAAATGCAATGGATTATGGTTTGTGGACGTGACTGGTTGGAGCAGATCAACGCAGAGGTTGTCCCTGCTCTAGATCCTGGGATTCTCAACTCCTGTGTCTCCTCCTGGACTCCCCACGCCATAAACGGCACTGCCCTTCCCCAGGGACCTGGCCCTGAAAACCAAGTCACACAGGATCTGTCTATCTGTTCATCCTGCAGCCCCCAGGTCTGGGAGATTCTCCCCTGCCGGTGCCCTCCCATCTGTATGCCCCTCCTGGTCACCAGTGTCATCATCCTGCCCAGCCTCCAGTCCTGGCCTCTCCTGCCCACGATGCCAGTAGTCAGTGAAGGCCACGTGGAGCCCCCCTGAAACTCAGTCTCTATGTGGAGGCTGGGCGTCCTCATGTCACTGTCAAGGACTAGACAATCCCAAGCCCTGGAGATGCTTTTAAATGATGGGCATGAGAAGAGGACTGATCCCTGGTGTTCAAATTAAACAGCGAATATTCATCCATTCATTCAATCATGTTTTTCAAAACACTCCCCTTGGACAGTCATCTCCAATTCAAGAAACATCAGAAACCCCTTTGCAAACCCTGAAAATGATGCCCCTTACTCCATAAAATTGCGTGCAGGGGCCGGGGATGTAGCTCAGTGGTTTCCACGCCAGCTGCACAAGCTCAAGGACCCAAATTCGATCCCCCATACCAAAAAAAAAAAAAAATTGCACGTGCCTGTGACATTTTGTATACAGTTTTAAGAAATCTGTAACCTCTCTTAAGCTTAATGGCAGACCCTGATGGTGCATAGGTGAGAGACTGAGATACAAAGGAAGGGACCAGTCTGGGGACACACAGAGCATCTCTGTCCTTCAGGCATGGGTCATGGGGTCATCCTATGAAAGTGCCAACTCCTCTCCCAGCCCCAGATCACGGCTGGGGACAGCAGGGCCCTGAGCACTCTGCATCTCCGCCTGTCTCCCCACCTGTGCTGCAGGCTTGCGGTCAGGTGAGCGTGTCATGTAAGGACCTGCCCCAGCCCTCGCATGCGGGACAGTTCCTGTCCCATTCTTTCCCTGGCCTTTTCTCTTCCTTTCTTTGCAGGCTTTGGAGGAAGGAAACATTGCTGCTGTCCAAAGTGGCTGTGGAAGGCTTCATGGAGGTGAGCCCTGTCTGGGCCTCAATGATGGGTGCTGGAGGAAGGCAGGGGCCAAAGGGTATTAATAGGCCTGGCTCAATGGGCTCAGGGAGGGTGAATGTGATACAGGCACTCAGCACCATGGTTGGGGAGGACCTGACACCCGGAAGGGGTGGGGCGGGGACAGTGGGGAGCACCACCTCCCAAAATAGCTAGGGCAGAGGCCTATTTAAGTGGTCCTCCCACCACCGCCCGGCTCACTGCCCGCCGGACCTCCCACCAGCCCAGTTTCCAGTGCAGGCTCCAGCCCTCGCGCCCACCCCAGGTGAGTGGCAGCTGTGGAGGAGGGGATGAGGCCAGCTGGAAGGGGCAGCCACTTCTCCCCTCCTCATCACTGTAACCAGGGGAGCTGCATTGGGGTAGCAGCCGAAGCCAGGGCTGACAGTCTGGCTCTGGGGGTGACCAGGGCAAATCCTTCTCATTGGCTGAACCTCAGCTTCCCTCTGTGCATCACAAGGGACAGAGGCAGACACCTGTGAACTCTTGCGATGCCAGCAGAGGACCCCGAGGCCAGAGAGAAAAGAGGAAGGAGCACAGAGGGCAGATGAGTGGGCCTAATGGCACTGTCTGATGCTCTGCAAGGGGACTCAGGCCTAGAGAGGGGGAGTTGAGAAGCCAGCAGGAGGGAGAGGGAGGAAGGAGGGAGGAGCCAGCCTTTGTCAGAGGCACGATGTCTGTGGACTGTCCAGGAGCCAGGGTGTGGTTCAGAGGATGCATAGGGCTGGAGAGAGCTGGGTCCTGGTCGCCATCGAGGCCACCAAAACAGCCACTAGCTCCAAGTTAGAGGACTCAGGAGTGGAGTGGATCTCTTGCCTCATGATCTGTCCTTAGGCCGCTCAGCCTCTCTCCAGCCTCAGTTTCCCCACTTATATAGCCTAAAGGGCCTTAGCTGGGGAAACAGATTCTCCACCAAGGCATCGAGTGAAGGAAGCCTGGGAACCCAGCAGCCCAGCACGTCGGAACCATTAGTCCACCCAGGAAAGGGGAAGCCCCGGCGGCCGTGGCAGAGCCAGGGCAGCTGAGGGGCCAGAGGAGGCCTCATGCCCAGAGCTCTCAGGTCAGGATCCACAGCTTCGGCACCCTGGAAGCCAGCTGGCCAGTGGCGGCCTGAAGGAGCTGACTCACCCAGAGGAGGCAGCTGGAGTGAGCCACTCCTAGGGTTTCCACAAAGGGCAGCCATTCAGGGCTGAGCCAGGGGAGATGGTGTTGACAGTGAACGTCAGGGAACTTGAGCTACTGGGCAGCGGAGCAGCTGTCCCTGGTCCCTACCACCAAGGGCCACCACAGTTCCTGCCCCAGCCCACCTGCTGGTACCTTAAATTGGAGTGTCCAGGTACCAGTACGGGAGCCACCCATGCCTCCACTGCAACAGAGGCAGACTAAAACCCAGAGATGAAGAAGGTCACAATGCAAGGTCATGTAGGGTCTTAGTGCAGCCCCTAGCTGGAACTCAGGCCTCCTGACTCCCTGTCCAGCAGTGCTCCCTGTCTAGAGGCAGCTGGTTGCAGACTGAATCCTTGGGAGATCTCAAGGAAGACGCAACTGCTCTCTGGCTGCGTAGGAAATGTCACATTTCCCACAGGTGATGTTCAGACCACAAAGCCTGGGCCTGGAAAGTGTGGTCTGAAGGTGCCACCCCTCCCCAGCATACACCAGCCTCCTGCGAGGGGACAGAGATTGTAGAGTAGCTTCCCACACCCCGACTGCCCAAAAAGGGCTGTGAGGACCGGGGGAGTCTGGGAAAGGAAGGAGTGCAGATCTAAGAGTGGGTCATTGAGAAGTCAAGCTGGCCAAAGCAATAAATGAATCAAGTTAAATTAACTCAGGTTTCAGAAAGTGCACCCTGGCTAGATGTGGGGTGCGGCTCCCACAGGAAGCCTCAGCGGCTCCTGACGGTCCCTGTCCCTGCCACCCCCTCCCTGAGTCCAGTGGGTCAAGTTTCTGCTTCCTCAGCGCTTAGATTTTGTAGCATGAATTTGCATCCGGGACTGACGACAGAGGAGGCCGAGCGAGGAGAAGAGAAAAGCCCATTGCCGGCCTGGGACCCTAGGGGTGCAGGCTGGCCTCCCACGTGTCCCGCATCTTTCCAAGCGGCAGGACAGCCTCTGCGGGCCAACATCAGAGCGACCCGGAGCTTCCTCAGTGTCCTTGAGGGCAGGCAACACTCCAGACGGGGAGAGGGAGGGGGCTAGTGGCGGGGCGACCCCTAAATCCCAGAGGTCGCGCCCTGACCCTGGCCTGCGAGCGCTGGGAGCACCCCCGGGGTCCTGAGGACCTGTATTGCGCGGCGGGAGCAGGTCGGTGGCCCGCGTGGCGCGGAGGCAAAGCGGGACTGAGCCGCTCCGGCTGCGCGCAGGGCTAGTTGTCCCCTGGCGCGGTGCCAGGCCGGGCGTGCGTGCGCCTGGCGCGCGCCACTGCAGCGCTGGTCATATGAACAGAAATGATGAGAAAAGCACTTTTTAATCTTTTCCCACTTGCGCCGTCCTCTCGAACAGTTGCAGGATGTCGATGACAGACTTCCTCAGCGCGGAGGACATCAAGAAGGCGATTGGAGCCTTTGCCGGTGAGTCGAGCCCTCCCCTCCCCTCCCCAGCAGTCCCCTCATCCGCCGCCTTGGACCCTGCACCCCGTGCCCCCAAGCTGGCCAGTCCTCCTCTGCCTCCAAATGCCCGCGCAGCCTGCAGTGGCGGGTCTGGGGGGCAGGGTGCCCAGCATTTCCCAAACTCTGGGGAGGGAGAGACTTGGTGAGGGCAGCACCCAGCCTCGGGCTGGAGCTACACAAACTTGAGCGCCCGCAGGGAGGGTGGCCGCTCCGGGAGGGCTGCGGGTCCAACACCAAGGGTGGAGACCAGCGTCAGAGGAGGGACTCGCGGCAGGACCTGTCTTGTGCCAGCTGAGACTTCCTGTCAGGCAGGTGGAAGGGGTCTCTGAGACCCCCCATTCTGGACAAGACTTAAAGTGCTGGGCTCTTGTCGGACCCCAACTGTTCGAGCTCCCCTCCCAGGCTTCCAAGTCCCTCAGGGCAGAGGCGACCTTCCAGAAGCTGGCACCAGGCTTTGCCCAATTATGCAGCCCCCCACAGCCCCCCAGTTCTCTCCTCCCCTCCAGGAAGGGGAGCCACTGCCTCGCCTCTTCTGGCTGCTCCAGGACTTCTGGGCTTAGCTGCCCCTCTTCCCTCTCCTTTCACCCAGATGGGGAAACTGAGGCTCAGGAAGGCTGGGAGGCTTGCCCAAGGTCATCAGCCTGGCAGGAGAGGGATTAGAATGGGGTGGTGTCCAGGTGTTATTGGTCCCCACTCTAGTGCCAGAGGTGGACAGACCAACTTTCCTCCCTCAGCTCTGGGCACGGGAGAGAATATCCCGAAGCCCTCACCCTCTCCAGTCCCCGTACCTACATAGATCCAGTCTCACGTTGTACCCTTTCCTGGATGTTTCATCAGGGAGCTCCCAGGACATAGAAAACTGCAGGGGCAGGAGGGGCCCACTTCCTTTCTGCTTGGCACCTTCCCCTGGGCACAGAAAGCTCTGGGAAGCCACTCTTCCCTGGCACTGTGTGACCCACCCATCCACTCACTCTGCCTGGAGCCACCTTGCCACCTCTGAGAAGAAACAGCTGAGTGCCCCTGGTCTGGGCTGGGGGTTGGCTGGCACACACATGCACACTGTCACCAGAATGGATTTCTGCAGCAAAGCCAGGACTTCCAGGTCCTCCCCTCCTCCTCCCACTGTGTGACCTTGACAGAACCCTGTCCTCTCTGTTGATTTTCCAAAAACATAGTTCAAGGCCAGGAAAGAAGGCTGCCCCTCTCCCACCGGTGCACACCCTCCACTCATGCCGGGTTCAGTTCCCAGTCCCGCTCCCACCCTGCCGCTGCCTGAATGCTTCAGGGAAACAAGGTTGTTGGGAAGCCAAAGGCCTCTGTTTGGGTCTTTGATGCTACTCCCATGGATGGCAAAACGTGCAGAGGGGCAGGGGCCAGGCTTGAGAGACTGGGGTCCAGGCATGAGCCACCTTTTCCCTGCTAGTACATGACCTTGAGGACGTGTCCTCCCCTTGTGTGGACCCCTTAACCTTCACTGGAGGTACATTCCCAGGAGGCCACTCTGAAACTGATTATCAGTGCCACCCCGACACCTCCCATTCTCCCACCCTTCCCTACAGCCACCTTTACATCCCCATCTTAACCTGATCCTCCTCCCACAGCTGCGGACTCCTTCGACCACAGAAAGTTCTTCCAGATGGTTGGCCTGAAGAAAAAGAGCCTGGACAATGTGAAGAAGGTGTTTCACATCCTGGACAGAGATAAGAGTAGCTTTATTGAGGAGGCAGAGCTGAGGTAAACCGAGGCAGGGGGCTCTTGCTCTCAAAATCCCATCAGAGTTGCCCCTCTCTCTGCACCCCTCACCCACAGACAGGACTGAGATCCGGGGCACCAGAGGGAGATAGTTCACAGCGCTGATGCTTCTGGAAGAACCAAAGACTCAGCTCAAAGCGCAACTAACTAGGTTAAATTATAGCCACTTAATATTGCTAATGGAATGATGCTCCTTACTAATTCAATACAAATGAAGAGGCAGTTGTCCTTGCTGCACTCGGGCAAGGCAGAGGCCCTCAGGATGGGAGTGCATCGATTTCCACCTCCACCCCTTCTGGACCAGAGCTTTCAGAGCTGTCTCCAGGCAAGCTCTGGGGACTCAGGGGTCCACGGAATGAAGCAGAGAGAGGGAGGCTAGGACCAAGCAACGCAACACTGATTCGGCACAGAATCCTCCCTTGTCACCCGCCTCAGCCCCCTGGCCTACATCCGCAGGCCCAGCTGTGCCTTATGTCACTCTGGCCAAGACTGCCTTGGATTTTGTCAAAAAGAGAAAGGGAAGGGTATGGAAAGAGACCTTCTAAGCAGGAACTTCTCCCACCTTTCCTGTCTCTTCCCCAAATGGTCCCACAAGGGTATGCTCTGACTGGAGCCTTCTCCTATCTGCCCCCCCCCAACACGGCCCAACTCCTCCCTGTCCACCTTCTCTGGGAGGCATCCCCCACCCCCTCTGTCCCCTCTGAGCCCCCTCAGCTTTTGCTATCAAAGCACGCATCACGCCGTGCAGCTGCTCCGGGGTACCTGACCTCCAGCCCTCGTATTCAAGTGGCTTTCTAAGGTCACCACAGTGTCTCCAGTCTCCAGCATAGCCTGGACATAGAGAAGGCACTTAGTGGGCATCTGTTGAGTAAATAAATGCCCGCAGGTGCCCTCCTTGAGGTGAGGTGGGCCCTCCTCGGAAGACAGTCAATCCTCTCCGCACTCATGCATGAAGGCTCAGCTGCAGAGCAGGCTACCTGGCCGGCCCAGCTGCACGCATGCCCACTGCTCACTGCCTGTCCCTGGTGCCCCTTTCCTGCGCAGATGCCAGCCGCCATCCACACAATGTTTCTGCAAGGTAACCTTAGCCTGACTGCCTCTCCTGCTTCCTCCTTTCCTCGCCTAGATTCTTCCTCCAGGCCTTTGCTCCAGATGCCAGAGAACTGTCTGCTAAAGAAACCAAGACGCTGCTGGCTGCTGGAGACAAGGACGGGGACGGCAAAATCGGGGCTGACGGTGGGTGCCATGGCCTGGGTTCTGGGTTCAGTGTGGATTCTGGCAGGTTTGGATGCTGAAAGTTCAGAGTCTGTCCCAGGGAAGCGCAGAGTAAGACCGAAAAGGCAATCCGCTGGACCTGAGAGCTTTGTCATTTAGCCAGGCGAAAGGAAAAATATTACCCAAACTGCTGTGTTTTTCAAAATTTGAACAACCCAGGAAAAATGGGTTCCTTTCTTTCTCTTTCTTTCTTTTTTCCGTGCTGAGTAGGGGATCAAGGAGAATTGGGGATTTTCTCTGGACTTTGCCTAGGTTCTGGTCCCAGTTCTGCCCATCCTGGCTGTGTGACCTTGGCCTGTCTTTCACCTTCTCTGAGCCTGAGGCCCCCATCTGTAACCCTAGAGATGAGGCCAATGATCCCCTAGGACCTACTGGCTCTCAGTCTCCAATTCCAGGGGTGGAAATTCCTTATCGCTCACCCTCCTCAGCCTCTCATCTTAGTGTCTTGTAACCTCAAGTCTCAAGTTAGGTTTTGGTGTCACTCAAATAGGCCATCCCTTTAGGAGAACCAGGGAAAGCAGCCAGCCAGGAGCCAGCTGGGAATTAGGAAGTCTGCTTCCCAAACTTGGCTCCTAGTGAGCGCAGGGGAGGAGCTAGTGTCCTCCACCCCACTTCCTTGTCCGTCTGGCCCTACCTGCCATTGGTGGGGGGCATCCTAGTATTGTCACTGTTGTCTGCCTTAGCATCATGCATTTTGCAGACACAGATACTGAAGGTGCTTGGCCTAGTTCAGGGATCCTGGACGTAGTGGTGGGGCAGGGATTGAGAACCAGGTCTGCACACGTCTTCACAGCCTCCTCTGCCACCATCCACTCCGTCATGGCCTTTCTCGTTACGTAAGAGAAAACTGTGTGTAGCTGCCTTTGAGTTCAGATCCCAGCCTCGCTAGCCAAGTCACCTTGAAGAATTTGCCTAACTACTCTGGGCCTCAGTGTTCCCATCTCTTGACTGCAGTAATGATGGTTCTTATCCCACAGGGTTATCATGAGGATTAGATGTGTACGGTGCTTAGAACAGGTGAGCCAAAGAGCCAGTGCTCCCTATGTGTCTGTCGACTAAATCAAAGTGACATCAGGACTAGATTGCATATGTTCTTCTATCCCCACCGTTCAACAGTACCTGACACAAAGCAGGTGCTTATTAAACATCTGTTGCCTGCGTATGAAGTCCAGGCCCCCAAGCCCTCCTTCCTTCCATCTCTGCCCCTTGCCAGCTGTGACCTTGAACATGATCCAGATCCGGGTTCCCTTGCCTGGCACATGGGATGTAGATGCTTATCCTATCATCTGCTTGGGTTTGTTATGAGATTTCAGTGGCTACGGACACAAAATTGACCTGGGAAAAGTGTAAGGATTCTGAAAGTGGGTGTGAGTTTATTAACGGTTGCCTTGCCAGAAACAAGAATGGAGAATCTCTACCAAGGTGAGGTGTAGGGAGTGTCCCAGCCATCTGATCCAGCTGCTTCTTTCACTTAGGAAGGAGGGAGGTGGTTTTCAAGGGGGCAGAAGAGAGAGGGTGTGGTGAACATTGGTGGCTTGGCTGTTCTTGGTGACCTTGGGGGGCAGCTGCTCCTCCACCCTATCCTCACAGATCCACAGCAAGCCCTGGGTCCCACTATGACCCCAGCCTGGGCTTCCAGACGTGCCTCCCATTTTTGTTTGCAGCCAGTAGCTGAGCCATAGCTCAGGAGTCCTAGGTAGGGCCTTCATGGCTGGCTGCTCACAGACAACCTAAATGGTGGAAAACAAAAACCAGGGCAGCCCCTGGCCTGGTTCCCTGCCTCCCTCTCTGCCATAACCAGGTCTTACAGAGCCAACTAAACTCTTCAACACACCCAGCAGACATGTCCTGAGTAGCAACTCAGTGCCTAGCACTGGGGAAGGCACAGATGAAGACTCTAAGCCCAATGTAGATCAACACCAGTCCTGGCTCTGTGGCTCTGTAATCCTGAGCCCCGCTTCCTTCAGGTGTAAACTGCCCGTGATAACATGCAAGCCTGGAGCGCAGTGCCCAACATGGAGTAAATGCTCAGCAAACAGCAGCTGTGATGCTGTTTGTATTCTATCTACACACTGTTTACAGTTCTACAAATAAATGGTGCTCCAGGGTGAGTGCCCCTTAATTGAAATGTTTGGGGCCAGAAGGGTGTCTGGTTTTGGAGTTTTTCAGATTTTGAAATATTTGCACAGTATTCTTTTGGCACTCCAAAAGTTTCAGATTTTTGGACTTGGGATGTTCAACCTGTGCCAGGCAGAGCAGGGAGCACAGGCAATGGGCACTGACAAACTTGGAGATAGGAGCTGCCTGGCTGCGGGCTGCAAGGGGCACAGAGAGACCCAGGCAAGGCGCTGACATCGGCAGAGCCTCTAGGCAAGGACAGTGAGGGCAGGTTTAGGACGGGGCAGGAAGAGTGGCTTGCTTGGAGAGAAGGGAGCCAGTGCTGGGCATGGAGAGTGCGCCCCGGCTGGGGCTGGGTTCTGTGCAGGTGCCACTTTATTTCATCTTGGGATGACAGAGGACATAGGTGCGGATGCAGACAAGGAGTTCAAAGAAGCCCAAGGTCACATGGCCGGCGTGAGAGCCAGGATTCAACCGGGTCTGTATGACCACACAGTCCAGCCCCAGGCCACCCTGTGCCAATGCCCTGAGCTCTGGGAACAGGAACAGAACACAGAGGCCAGGCCAAAAGATGAAGAAGGTGAGCAGCGTGGGTCACCCCACACTTCCTGCTTTCAAGATGGGAGATGCAGACACACTGGGCCCCACTTCCACGCCCAGACACGGGAAGGGTGGGCATGGTGATGCCCCACAGGCAGTGGGAGGGGAGGCAGAGCCCTCCTGAGATGCTGGCAGTTCTGTTCTCTGTGCTGTGCTTAGCTGTAGCCTCTGAGAAGGCAGAGGATCTGGGCTCTGCTCATGGAGCACTAGTGAGTGCCAGGCGCCTTGCTTAGTGCTTCACGCATCCACCTTCTAGCTATCTTTGAAGTGGATGCTGTTACTATTCCCATTTTATAGATGGGATGGACCACTGAGGCTCAGAGAGGCTGGTGTTTGCCTAAATCCCATGGCCAGAAAAAGAAAAGGTCAAGGCCCCAGTTCAGGTTGGTCTGGCCCCAAAGCACATGTGCTATTGCTGCCTGCTTCGTGCATTCACACAAAGGTTAGTGATATCCACCAAGAGCTTGTCACATGCTTGCTTCTCTCCCCCACTAGGATGCCAGTGCCACAGGGGAGGGACTTGGGTTGTTGGGGTGTGTGTGTGTGTGTGTGTGTGCGCGCGCGCGTGCGTGTTTGGTTCTGTCCACACCCTTTAGAACAGGGCCTGACACATAGCGGAAGAACAAGAGTTTGTTGAATGAATGAATGAATGAATGAATGAATGTGTTCATCCAGGATGCAGGGAGGAGGAAATGTGAATCCTGCATGCAAGGAGAGGCTACCTGCAGGTGAAGGCTGGAGACCTGGGCAGGTGGGCTCGGGGCCTAACTGCAGGTACCAGGACAGCTCAAAACTGGTGCTGCCCTTGCTCCCAGCCCTGTTTGCCCTTCTAAAGTGAGCAATTGTTTCCAGGGTTATTTAAGATCCCAGGTTGCAGGGAGAGGGGGAAGACAAAGCTCTAATAATAAGTCTTTATTTTCTCATCTCTGGGGTGACGATTTCCAGGAAGCTCAAAGGCTTTTATAGATATGATCGATTAAGTCTCAGCAGCCACCTTGAGAGGCTGGTTCAAGCCAGTTAGGGGAGGGTTTAGGGCAGAAAAGAAGAGAGAAGTTGGAAAGAGATGGAAAGTGCCCAAGGGCTTGACTGTCACTGCAGAGGCCAGGCAGAAAAGCAGGCAGACTTGCTCTGAAGCAAGTGTGCCTCGCACCCCAGCCGGAGTCTGATTCCTTAGGAGGGGCCCAAGTATTTGCATTTCTAACAAGTCACCTAGCGATGGTGATGGTCACAGGAACCACACTTTGAGAACCACTGCCTTCCAACTATCCTGGGAAGTAGGAGCCCTCACTATCCCCATTGTGTAAGGAAAGAAATTGAGGCATAGAGAGGTTAAGTAACATGCCCAGAGCTACTGAGTAGCAGAACTAGACCCAAAACTCGGTGGTCCTATCAGGACCCCCTGCACCTGTCCCCAGCCCAGGTCTCAAGCTCAGTGGCTGCACCCTAGGGACATACAGACTGCCGGGGCCTAGGATTCAATCCAACCCCAGACACCACACACAGCTGTACTTCCGGCTGGTGCAAATCTCACAAGAGCTCCAAACACCGTCTTTGTTACCTACACAAATCAGGAAACTGAGGCCCAGGAAAATAGAGCTTCTTGCTATGAAGCATTGGGGTCTCATTTCAAACTCTGACCCCCAGTACACGGCTCTAGATGAGATCCACCGGCCGTGTATACATACACGCACTTGCACAGTGATTGCACAATCCTTGTTATGTTTTCTCAATCCCAATAACAGATCCACTTTCCTAAGCTTTAAGCCTTTTCCAAACCGAGAGCCTGTCTTTTGCATTTTGAGGCCATTACTGAAAATTTAGTCATAATTATTGCCTGACGGGGCACCACTCCCATGCCTGAAGGCACTTGCCTTTTTTGGTTCCTTCTGGCAAAGTCTGTTCTCCTTTATCCTTAAGTAGCCTACTGAGCCGGGGAGATGGAGTGCTACAGAAGCCATTGGGCCAACGGGATGGACAGAAGATAGGACCGCCCACCTCGGGTACCAGCTCTGCCAGAGGACGGGGCTTCTCCTCCCTTAGGGCATCCGTTCTGCTTCCATAAGGTGGAGATAAAAATATCATCTCCCTGGCAGTTTGCTGGAATTAAGTGAATGTTCTGGGAGTGATTCCTTCCTCTTTGTTTATGTGAATGCTTTTGTTCCTAAGTCTCCTTAGCTCCTTTAGGAAGTTGTAGAATCCCAACTTTAATAGACATGAGATCAAGTCCAAGACAGAAGTGAGAA